CTACCGCTTGAGCCACATCCCCAGCCCTTCCTTTGACCTTGAAAAGACATAACTTCTTTGCATGTCTCTTGTCTGGATTTGGGGTAATATGTGTTTCTTAGCACTGTCTTGCAGATAAGATAACCTACGTGAAGTGTTCTGGACTCCTTAAAGGACTATGTCAAAGCAATAAAATAGTAAAGATAGTAAGGTAGAGCTGGGCCTGGTGGTGCATACCTATAATTCTGGTGACTTAGGAGGCTAAGGCAGGAGGATTGCAAGTTCAAGGCCAACCTGGGCAACTTAGGAGACTGTCTCAAAATAAAAAAAAAATAATAAAAAGTTCTGGGGATGGAGCTCAGTGGAAGAGCACCCCTAGGTTCAATCACTAGTATGGGGAGGGGGAATGAGATAGGGAGGAGGAGGGGACAAATCTTCATTTTCTTCCTTAATCTTCTAATCTTTCCAGATGCCGGTGGGTCCTTTGGAGTTCCCTCTGTTACTCAAGTTGCAGTGGTAGGGGGTTCCGTGCTTGAGTATAGGAAGAATGAAACCATGTTGATCAGGAAGGCCCCTGTTGGCTTTATTCTTTCAGTAAGGGGTGACTGTGACACTCAGTGTGTTGTGTTAGGAGAGCACAGGATCTGCCAGTAGAAGAAGGCGTCTGTCTCTCCTCTGCAGGCCCATGAGAGGCAGCCATGGACTGTGTGCTCCTTCACGGCTTACCTACTCCTCCTTCACAGAACCCACAACCTGGAGTTCTGACTCCTCTGACCACCCTCCATGAGAAAGAAAAGTGAATCCACAGAGGCCAGTGCTTCAACCTCATAAAGTCCAGTTGACCAGAGCACCTTTGGGAGAGGCCCAGCGAGTGAGCACGGTTGTTACTGTGCCTATCAGCCATGTCCTTCAGTGCCACCATTCTCTTCTCCCCTCCCAGTGGCAGCGAGGCCCGATGCTGCTGCTGTGCCTGTAAAAGTGAGAATAGCGGAGGCAGCGCAGGCTCACAGGGCGGGAACCCTCCTGCCAGCACGCCCATCACAGTGACTGGACATGGCCTAGCTGTCCAGAGCTCTGAGCAGCTCTTGCATATTATCTACCAGCGGGTGGATAAGGCAGTGGGCCTGGCTGAGGCTGCTCTGGGTCTGGCCCGGGCCAACAATGAGTTGTTAAAACGGCTCCAGGAGGAAGTGGGTGAGCTGAGACAAGGGAAGGTATGCACCCCTGATGAAGACGGGGAGAGCCGGGTCCACAGTCCCCCAACAGAGGAGCCTGGGCCCCTCAAGGAGAGTCCCAGGGAAAACTGCAAGACTCTGTCTGTCGTGGAGGAGGAGTGTGACAGTGTGGGCAGTGGTGTGCAGGTGGCAATCGAGGAGCTGTGGCAGCTGGGGTCAGCCTCGGCAGTGGGACCTGGGCCTTTGGGCTTCCCAGCCTCTCAGAGAGACATGAGGCTCCCAGGATGTGCTCTGGCCGGGGGTGAGGGGACCCCTCTGCTCAATCCGGTGAGTATGGCAGCAGGGCAAGGTTGCTTTTCTGAACTTTTGTGGCCTTTTTCCTCTCTCTTTTCTTCCTTTTCTTCTCTTTCCATTTTTAAATCTTTCTTTGTTTATATCTGTGATAATACAGAATAGCATCAAATTTCTCTGCCTTCAGCACTCCTGTTTTCTTCCTGAACCATCAGCCTCTTTGGCAGGAGGTCATTTTCTGTGTGTGTGGTGCTGGGGTGCTCTCCCCTCCCTCTCAATAGCTCTGCATGGCACCTTCTCCTCCACAGCTGTCTCTGCTGTTGCAGGGCTCTGCCTCTCCTGGCGAGAATGCCTGCTGCCATGCACAGGCGGCTCATTCATATTTTATCACGGGCCCTCTGCTTGCCAAGAGGAGTTCAGTATAGAGAGACAGGAATGTGGAAAGGAGAGGGACATAGGGGAGAAAAAGGAAGGAGAGAGAGAAGGAGAAAGCAAAAGGGAGAGGATGAAGATAAGGAAAATAGAAGACAAGTACAGGGAAGGAAAGAGGCAAGTGGAAATTAAGGGTTTGAGGAAGGAATGAACTTTTTTTTTGTTTTTTTTGTTACTGGGGATTGAACCCAGTGGGGACTTTGCCACTGAGCCACATCCCTAGCACTTTTGATTTTTTGATTTTGAGATCGTGTTTCACTAAGTTGCTTGCCTCGCTAAGTTACTGAAGCTGACCTTGAACTTGCTATTCGCCTGCCTCAGCCTCTTGTTGCTGGGATTACAGGTGTGCACCATTAGTCCTGGAGAAGAAAGTTGAGTCTATGTGGAAAGGGGAACATTTATGTTGGGGGAAGACTGCAGTAAGGGACAGGGAATTAGAGGAAAGGAAATAAAATGCCAAAAGGAAAGGATGATTGAGATTGAATAGTCAGAGGAAGGCATGTAGAGAGAAAGGGAAGCTAAGAAGAAGGCAGATGGAGAACATATTTTGTGAGCAGGAAAAGACATCAAAGTACATTGTGCTATTTCAGTTTCTTTGCTGCTCAGGGGCCATATGAGCAGGAAAAATGCTGGATGAGTAGAGTAAGAACTGCAGAATGTCACACATGGAAGTATGAAAAGGAGATAGAGCAACCATAGAGATCATAGAGACAGAAAATAACAGATGTGTTGCCACTTGAGGGCCAGTGGAAGGTCTGTCAGCTCTCTGCCTTATCCTCTGTCTGCTTTCACTCTTTTCCTTCTCCCTTCTTGACAAGGCTCACACAGGGTGGACAAGAGGGAGGAAACTCCCAGCCCATCTGCTGGATCTGAGGAGTGAGTGTGTAAGCTCCCCTCCCCCTCTCTAGGCTGACACCACAACTGGCCATTGCTCTCCTGAAGGCACAGCCCTGTGGTGATAGTCACTGTGCTTGGTCAGGACTTCCAGTGGTTTGCGCCTCAGGGAGAAGGAACCAGAAGGCAAGAGGCAAGAGGGTACCAGGCTAGGAGGTGTCCTGAATCATGGGTTCATTCAGGCAGGGAAAGCTTCCAAGCCGACAGGATGGAATTAGATTTCACAGCGCAGAAAGCAGCTCACAGGTCTATAAATCTCAGCCGCCTCCCCACTTCTTTCTCTCTGTGTGTGTATGTGTGTGTGTGTGTGTGTGTGTGGTTCCCCACCACCACTTCCACTGTTTTGTTTTCTTGGCTGCAGAAATCCCCCTCCTTTTCTCCTCCCTCTCTGCCTCCTTCCTTTCCCTGCCCTGCATGTCCTTGAATGAGGGCAYAGGCAGTCAGCTGGATGTCAGGGCTTCGACAGTTTATGGTCAGGCCAGGATCAAGGTGAGGGTACAGACTGGCCCCTGAAAGGGAACAGAGGGTAGGTAAGGGGTGCTGTCCACACGGCCTCTCTAGGGGATCCTCTCTAGAATCTCCTGCTTTGCTCTCTGTTTTCCTCTTATTTTTCCTCTTTGTTGTTATTACTATTTAATTTTCTTGCTTCGTTTCCTGCTTGGTTTCCCTTTCTTGTCATTACTGCCTTCCTAATCCCTTTTAGACACAATACTTACGAAGCTACATTTCTTATACTCAAGAGCAAACCATAAATGACTGCTCACAAAAAAGCATCAGAAACATGCCTTGGCCTTGTAAGTAGCCCTATGGTAACAACCCAACACAAGGGGCCCTATATATGCAAGAATTATTTGCCCAGTACTCCCATAGGAGTCCCAGAGAAATAAGCCATTGACATTAAAGATTCCCCCACTTCTTTCCATTCTCTGTTCACTATTCTCAGCCAAAGAATGATAGTTGACCAGGTTCCCCTATGTCTGGCAGGTTAATAGATTATTCTTTTTTATGTCTTTAGCTGGTGGATGATTATGTGGCCTCTGAGGGTACAGTACAGCGTGTACTGGTCCCAGCTTATGCCAAACAGCTTTCACCAGCCACACAGCTGGCTATCCAGCGGGCATCTTCAGAGTCAGTGCCAGAAAATGGAACCAAGCTGCCACCACCCCGCCCTGAGGACATGCTCAGTGCTGCTGCTGCGTTGGACAGTGCCTTGGAAGAGTCAGGTTCCGGGAGCACTGGGGAGTTGAGGCACTCTCTAGGGATCACTGCTTCCCCATGCAGGACCAGAGGGAATGGGCAGAAGAACTCCAGGCGAAAGCGGGATCTGGTACTCTCTGTAAGTGAGCTCAATTTCTATCATTTTTTTCTTCAGTCTGGAGAGAGAAGTGAAGAGTGAGGGTGGGTTGATTGTAAGCCTCCCATAACGAAAAAATGGTGTCCTGAGTCCTACTGGAGCAGGAGGGACAAGGAGAGAGCCCTAGGGATTAGGCAGTGTCTCTGCTAACATTTGAGTTTTTAGAGTTTTCTAAATAGAGTGGAATCTTCCAGTGTTCTCATAATCCTGATAGGAATATCTTTAAGGGATTGAGCAGATTCATCACCACAGTATGGCAATTTAGCCCATGCGCAGGGTAAATAGTAAGGGGCCCCATGGGTGAAGAAGCCAGGCAGTCCCTAGGTAGTCCCAGACCCCAAATATGCTGAGGGCCACTATACACTCAGCTCAGTTATATAGGTTTGGAGAATCTAGTCATTCCAAGAGCTCTTGACAGGGAAGGAACTAGATTGAATTACATCTGCTTAAAATCTTCTTGGAATAGCTGGGAGCCCTTAGGAACACCCTGTGCGGTTGGGAGCCCCCATCTTGGCAAATGATCCAAACCTAAAGGTCTTCTAGGGCAGTAATTCTCAGCCTGGGATAATCCTCCTCCCAGGGGACATCTGGAACCTACTGGAAACATTTCTTGTCATTATCTCTGGTAGGTGGGTGGAAGGAAGGGAGAGAGCTACTGACATATAGGGTAGAGAACCGGTATTCTGCTGAACTTGCTACAGTGCACCCCCAGCCCCCTAACAGTTGGCAGTTGTGTGAAGGTTGGAAAATCATCTTCTAGGGTGACCTGGTTGGGACTGGATGCCATCACTCAAATCAGCCTAAGTCCCATCACGCTAGACGGCCCATTCTTGTTACGTCTTAGTAAAGGTTGAAAATAATGATCACCATTTAAACACCTTTTATTTATATTGCTTCTGTCTTCCTTTCCTTTTTTCCCCTCAGATATCCCATTTTTACTCTTTCTTTCATTTGATTTGCTTTTATATCAGAGATTCTTTGTTCCCCCTGAAATATACCATTCATAATCAATGCCAACTTGTTTTTAACTGTGACTTTGAATTTTAGTTATGTTCAAGAACATTTCACTTAAGAACAGGAGCAAGTTTCTGTCATGGGTTTGTGGTCAAAGAGGGCTACTCCTGCTATCAGTAAGATAAATGGAGGCATGTGTCTCAAAACTCATTTCAAGGGGTTTCCCAAAACTTCATATTGTTTAAATCATAAATAAATGTGTGATAACTATAATTTGTATAAAAATCAAGATTTTCTATCGCTTCTATTCCATTTCTGCCTGTTGTCTCCAGAGAGAGGTATAGTGTTGAGACCTGGCTTCTTCCTTCCCTTTGGAGATATCAGTGGATCTGGGGACCTAGTGACACAACAGTGCTTGCTCATCATGCTCTCTATTATAGCTCTTGAAAAGGATCTAGAGGTCCGGTCAGGGAATATTGCTGCCTGTCACAGAAAAAAAGTTTAAAGTGTTTTTGTGTTGGAATGTGGGTTTGGAAAGGGAGGGATAGCATAGATCTTGACTATTCCAATCTTTAGCTCTGGGAAGGAATCAAAGAGCCATCTCTCCAATCTGCTAGCTATCTTGTGAACCAAAAGGAGCAAACCAGAACCCTTAAATTCTTTGGAATGCTGGAGATTCCCTCAACCCTTGAGAAACATTTATTTTTAGCTCACTGAGGAGATAGGTGAGCCAGCAGCCTCTACAGTCTTAACATTTATTGTCTAGAGTATTCTCCCTTTCCACTTTAAGCCTGGTTTGAGTTTTATCACCTGATCTCTTCCAAGCTACTTGAGTTAGAAGCTATATAAATCCCTTTTTTCCTTGTTTTTTTGGAAACTTTCCCAAATTCTTCCTGAAGCATTCACCTTCCTTTGTGTGTCTTTAAGTTTGGTCTTCTTCTTCTTCTTCTTCTTCTTCTTCTTCTTCTTCTTCTTCTTCCTCTTCCTCTTCCTCTTCCTCTTCCTCTTCCTCTTCCTCTTCTTCTTCCTCTTCTTCTTCCTCCTCTTCTTCCTCCTCTTCTTCCTCCTCTTCTTCTTCCTCCTCTTCCTCCTCCTCTTCTTCCTCTTCCTCCTCTTCCTCCTCTTCCTCCTCTTC